ATGGTTGACGTAAACCCTACATGCCCTGGCAGGTAATCTGACTTCTTAACGGCACATGTAACTGCCGGAGAATTATAAGTAAATATCAGTAGAAGTAGCAACGTCTAGTAGCACGACAACAACTACTAGGCTGGTTTTATTGCAAAACTTGGACCGAGGTATACTAAGGAAATGTTGCAGAAGTCAGCAAGTAGTGAGTGCCAAGCGGTGCGACCAAGGATAAAAGTGTATTTGGCCTAACTACCTACTAGTGAAAACCCACTTTGTACTATATCCACATACATGCACGCAAAGGATGAACAACTCAAAGATGAATAAAAACAGGACTCCCATTTAGTGGACCGTCTCTCCATTGAACTTGCATTAAAAAACATAATTTACAGCTATTAGTAGATGTGGCAACTAGTACTGGCCGTTTCAGCATTCACATACTATATCTAACAGCAGTTCCTAGTACTCGTAGTCCGAAACTTGGTAAAATACGGCACAGCTTTGGTGGATAGAGGTGAGGGCTCGGAAGACAAGGCCAGCCATGATGTATTCCGGCCAAGAACATGTATTACTCGGAATAACATAAATCTAGATTGACATGAGCCTCAGCGCTGATCCAAATCAGCGTCAACTCTGACTTATAGATTCGACAGATAGGGTTACAGCATTACTAGCACTCCACTAAATTGCCAGTCAGTCGCAGCATAAGAAAATGATACCCTGCGATTATGCTCAGTCTATCGCAAGCTATGCGTTGTAGTAGGCCTACAGACAGCTTATACACGGCACAAGGCACTACGTGAGACATAAAGGTATGGTAGAACTTGTGCTACTAGTTAATAACGCTTTGTCTCAACCCATAAACTGGTCATTTACTTTACCCCATACAGATTGGGAGTGCACACTGGGTGCCGGCTTCCTACAGGCACACACAGTCCATATCATAATACACTAGTTACTGGTCTTAGTAACTATGGTTACTAGAATTAGAACTTTAGCATAGGCGAATACTCATAGCAGCAGTATCCTTGTCCTCGTAGTCCAACTCGTAGTTGAAACGGACACCGCCTGGGAGGATAGAGTTGAGAGGGCGGAATACAAGGCAGGCTCTGATGTGCTCAGGGCCTTAACCATGCATTTCCTCGAAATAGCATAAACCCAGATCCCTCACCCCTTGTTGGGAACAAAGGAAGTATGAGCCCCAGCGCTAACTTCAAACCAGCGTCACTTTTGACAAATTTTAGCGTCAGAAATAGTGCCAGTACTGCTAAGCCTCGACTATATTGATAGTCAATAGTAGTAGAAATAGTAGTAATCGTATCATTCTCGGCCTCCTTGGGCCTATCTTCACACCTACTTAGGGTGAGTGAGGATGGATAGTATAGTAGTATGCGCGCAAAGTCTACCATCACATAAGACTAAGTTATGCGGTGTTTCGGCTTGCATTGGAGAAGGCAGCCTAAGCCGGGCCCCATTTAGTTTTCTTGACTCTGGGCAAAGGTTAAGAGTGCGCTTGGCGCTAACTACCGCCGCTATCACTTTAAAGCAACCCTCTGAGGCCGCCACCATCTGTTCCAACCTGTTGGTGCACTTGGTGGACTTCATCGAAATCGACGATCGAACACACACACAGGGTCATACAATAATTTGTTGGCTATAGACGGACCGATTTCGCGCGTTAACGACCCATCTTCCAAGTGGCGACTATTATGACGCCGCAGTGATGAAAGAGGGCGTAGAGGCGGCCTCGTTCTTGCTCCAGCTGAGGGTCCGTAAAAATGGGATCAGGCCAGTTAGGAATGACACACCATGGCATAAAGCCACTGACTTTTGGAGGCCACACACTCGTCCCGGCCAAAAACTAGTGTACGACCCTATCAACCCGGCAAATAATGCTAATTCTAACAATCACTACGGACAGAGTTAGGTTGGCGTTCTCCTTTCCTTTATTTTGCCCCACGCATAAAAGCCCTTTTATCACCAGTACGGTATTGCAGGCTGAACCATCCGTTGTTGCCTGGGTGCAGTCACGTCTTGCATTCTTGCCCTGACTCAGTTTTCCCTCTGACACAGAATCGCAGGGCGTAGTGTGAGGCTGACCCTGTGCTACCTTTCTTCACGATAACAAATTCGATACACTTTCAGTATGCCACGCAGCATTTAAGGTCATGACTAAGGCTAGCACCTAGCAGAAATAATCCACTCTTTGGAACTGGTAGCCTGACTGAAATGGTTCAGATGAAGCAGCTTCAGCCACTGGGACAATAATTTTATTCTCCTGACGTATTGAAGTCAAGAGAAACATATAAGCACTGCACATAACTGACTGCTTCATTCTCCACGTCGATGCATCGGCCTGACGATGAATGACCGGAAACAATGTTTTTGCCAAAACGACGTTTCGACGTTTCCGTTACGGATCCATCATAAGAGACAATAGCAGAAACGGAGTTACAGTCACTATGCTACTGCACACCTACGACAATTAAAAACCTCCCCCTATAGAAGGTAGTTGTCCGCTTGTGCGGTAATCGCTTGATGACTGGTGTGCGGGTCGTGACCTGCTAAAAGTGCATCAGGCGTGCTTCCTTTTAATTACTTCCTACGGCTCGCTTTTTCGCTTGAAGTGATTCCTTGTGTTTTTAGAGTGACCCTATGGAAACTCTTACTGATGCAGTAACAGAGTGGATGGAGGGGAGCAAACTTTATACTATGGTAGCCCTTTGCCAAACTTGAATGCGTTTACAACTTTCCCCTATTCTCATTTGTATACAACTGTTTAGACTAATTCTAACCATTACGCATTTCTGTAGTTGTATTTATAACCTGTTGCTTAAGTTGGCGTACAACCGTTTCCTGCTACAATTTAAATGGTTTGCATGTTGATTCAATAGCGGGTATTTTCCTCCTATTGGTCTTGTTCATTAAACTGAGTACG